CCATTGGAAAATATCAAGACGAACCGCTCTTCGATGTTATTCTGATGCAGGCCGCTCACTTAGTGTTGGGCAGGCCTTGACAATTTGACCAAAGGGTTTCTCATCATGGCCGAACAAACCAGTACACGTTTGAGCACGGAGGAAGGAAGCTGATTCTTAAGCCTCTGTCGTCGGAAGAAATTCGAGCCGACCAGAAGCATATGGCACGAAGTCTAGCCAAGGATGAAGAGGGATCAAGGAAAGAAGCTTCTGTGGCTCAGTGTCTGGCTAGGAGGTACTTACTGACTGTACTTGCTAGCAAGACAGTTCCGAGGAGAAGCAGAGCTCGTCGGCCCGGTTTTCCAGCCGCCTTGAAGCACACCGAATTGGGTGGAGTAGCTGAGGCAACGTCGGAACGAGAGACCCACGACGACACGTTCCAAATTTTCCCAGCAACGTGTCAAGTCGAAGAAAGCCAGCCAAAGCGAGCTCAATCGACGAATCCCAAAAGCCCAATTTTGCCTCCAAAAGCGCCGAACAATGAAGAGAAAGTGGGTGAATCGGATGTGGGGTTCGGGCACGATTCGAGGCAATCCAGCACTGAGAACCTACTATTGGGGTCTCAAAGAAGGTGTAGGAAGTCGGAAACTAGCTCGGCGACGCCTGAAAACGAAATGCCCAATTTTCAGATTCGCTCGCCAGATTCTGGAAATTTGTCGTCGGAATCTGGAAATTTTGAATTCTCAGTTGGCGGAAAAACTTCGAGACTCAATTCAAGCCGATTTGGAGACCATCGAAGCTCGCAAACTTTTGAAATCGATTCATGGGAGCTGGTAGATCTTAATGAAAGCAAGAAATCGCAACAGGAATGCTTGAAACGGAAAGCCCCAATGTCAACACGCTCACCGGAGAATCGGGCTTCGCCGGAAAATCGGGTTTGTGGACTTCATTTTGTGATCCTGTTTGGAATGACTTTGTATCTTGTTTTGAGCACAGATTGGTCCAAGCTTTGAGGTCAAAGCTTTTTAAAGAAGGGGGGCCTGATATGATCTCAATTACAGCCTCTTACAAACACCAATTAATCGTTCAAAGTCCGGATCAAGTTGATGAGGAACAAGCTGGAATTTGCCTAAGTGTGGAAACAGTTCTGGGAAGCCTACTTTGGGAGGTTGAATCTCTCAAATGGCTAAGTGAAATAGCATGTGTGAAGGCTTGTTTTGAAGCTTGGGTGTTCCTTTATAAGTTGATGCAATTGGATTTTGGAAAGAAGGTCAGGAGGGTTGTTTTTCAAGGCCATCAAAAACCTATCCTACTTTCGGGAAATTGCCAGTTTTTTACTAAGGCAAGAAGACAGTTTGGGGTCGCGACTTTGAGTTCGAATTCCCGACGTTTGGGGCATGATTAGTTGGAGCTTGGAGTTGGAAATGAAACTATGGAACTTTCTAAACCTAGGGAAGGGATTGGCTAAGTTTGACTCAACCTAGAAGGCCAATTTCCGTGAGCTTGAAGTTGGTACGAAGACTGGACTCTGGGACAGTTGCTTGGCCGAGAAGAATGTTGCGTGGGATGCAAGTTTCAATGTTTTACTCATTTTTTTCCCTTATTTTGTTTGTACTTTGTTTCATTGTTCAATTAGGAGTGTGTTAAGTTCTCTTGGCTATAAAAAGGCCTCGTTCTTTGATTGTAAGCACGTTGTTAAGATTAATCAAAATTACTCCAAGGAGTTCTTCCCAAAGCTTGCGAGCACTTGTTCTGAGTCTTTTGGCCGAGAATTGCAGATCGACGTAATCAAGTAATCCCCTTGATTAGTTGATAAATTCTACCCTTCATTAGCCTCCTTCCCTAGTGTTAAGGTTGCTGATTAGGTTTTACGATTAATTCCACCCTTTAGTTGAGTAAGGACCTTAATCCGAGCAAGGTTTCTTGTTGCTCCTTAGCTGCGCCATTCTGAAACTCGTCAAGCTGGGAACCTAGCTTGCATCAAGTTATGCAAAATATTGTATATGCATGCATAATCGAACGGGTTACGTTGGATAGTAAGAAAATCATACCCATTTATTATTCGTAATATTATATTTCTAATATTAACGATACTATTGAATATTTTATCTAGTTCGAATTTTACCCTGATGATTTTGAATTTGGACGGATAACCTAACACTAATATAAAGAGGTTCTCTATGAAAATATGCTTAATTCTAAATTTTGAGCTTTCTGAGTAAATTTAGGAAGAATATTTTAGAAAATTTAATTAATATAAACCAGGACTCTATTAGAAACCCGAGATTATGTTAATTATACTAATGGAGAATAGATTCCGCACGAAACATGTTAAAACTAATTATTAGTATTATTATTATACTATTAATATTTTTAGTAAGAAAGCTGGTTACGTTTGAGACATTCTTATAAGGTTTAGTTTGTTTATTTTATTTTCTTTTAGTGTTTGTGACAAATTCTTATACGTGTGACTTTAGTACTTAACTAAATAATTAATTTTCAATAACATAAATCAAATCAAATCATTTTCATTCATAAATTTCGATTGGAGGGTTTCCATAAAACATATACAAAATAAAATAATTCATAACCATAATAGGAATTGATAAGAGTGAGGAGGTTTATGAATATAATTATAAGTGATAGTTTAATTAATTATAAGTTAATTCCTCAATTCTTCTTATAGATATTGGTTTTTTCTTAGACCGATGAAATGTACATTACAATCCCTATTTAGAGACTAAAAGTTCAAAGTTTAAAACGAGTAGTTAGATAATTTATTTCATATGTTCTTTTTCCGAACAATGAAAAAGAATAAAGAGATCATACCACCTTAAACCTAGATTTTTTTATATATAGTTTTCTTTTACCATATGACAAACTGCAAACTCCTTTTTCTTTCATTATTCATAACTTTGCTTGGTTTGATAAAATATTAGTGAAAAGTTTAAATAAGTGCGATGATAATTCTTATAAAAAATCCTTTGGCACTGGCATATTACTTTGTTTTTTTATGAATTAGTAAGCTCTTATATCATCAAAAAGAATCTCAAAACCTTTGGCAACAACCCTGCCAACTAAGTCACCGTAACAGTTTTTCTGCACTCAAACTAAACTCCCTATTTCATAACAAAGGAAACCTATAATTTGAACCAAGAGAGAAGGCTAACCAGCCTAAAAATTGTCAACAATTTCAGCAGAAAAAAGCATTGTAATGTCCTGTTTAATGCGTACAATCATCTCCTGATGGCTTTTCTTGGATCCTCCATGCTTCAGTAGACACCTTTCACGCCAAATAGTACTGATCATTGCCTCCAAATCGCCTTAGCTGCCTGGTTTCGCAGCTGCTTACCTTTTAGATGGGTTGAGGCCCACTGCAGCTCTGCATCCCAATCACCCGAAGGAGTTGTAGGGAAAGCTTTAGCTAAAAAACCTGCATACAGTTCCTTAAACACCACACAGCCACCAAAATATGAGCTCTTGTCTCCAATGAACAAGAACAGAACGAACATGAGAAAGGACCTCTTCCTCCCCAGCTTGCAACCTTATCACAGGTTGTGATATAATTCTTTACTACCAACCAAACAAGAAACTTATCCCTTGGAGGAGATGGACATTTCCAGATTAGAGAACACCAGGGAATAGATGCTTTCTTTGGCCGGAAAGACTCCCATACCAGCTCAATACAATACCTCTTCATAATTTTTCCATTCCACAGAACATCCCCATTCACCATAGACATCTGCTGGCAAATCTTATCTCTGCTTTTCAACAGTTTTAACCAAATCAAAGAACCAGTTTTGGATTGAAAAGTCCAAAAATCATGCTTCTTAAGTCTGTATTCCCTCAACCATGCCACCCACAGAAATCCCTGCTGCAAAAGGATTAGCCAAATATGTTCGATCACACACGAAAAGTTCCAACTCACTAGGTCCCTTATTCCCAATCCACCTTCTTTCTTAGGAAGAGCTAAGTAATGCCAAGCTGCAGTAGCCCTTTTCTTACCATCTGCACTAACTCCCCACAAGAAATCACTACAAAGTTTCTCAATCTCCTTAATAACCCTTTTTGGCAGAATAAAAACTGTCATCCAAAACTGTGTCAAACTAGCAAGAACAGAAATCACAAGCTGTAAACGCCTTGCACAACTAAGGAACTTTGTTTTCCAACTATGAATTCTACCCGTTATTTTATCTAATAGAGGTTTACAAGTTTTGATTGATAGCTTGCCAGGAATTAGAGGCTATCCCAGATATTGATTGGAAGTGAACCCAGTTTATAGCTTGCTCTCTGAGCCATCTGTTTTTGCCATTCAATAGGAAGCTCCCCACAGAATAATTCACATTTCTCAGGATTAGATTTTAGGCTAGAAATTCTTCTAAACTCCCCCAACACCCTCTGAATACATTGAATGCCATGATTTGAACCATCAGAGAACAAAAGCAAGTCGTTTGCAAACATTAAATGAGTCAAACCCAACCTCTTGCACATAGGATGAAATGACATTTGTCCCTCCCTAACTGCTTTTCCCATTAAACAAGACAGAATTTCCATAGAAATGACAAAAAGGTAAGGGGACAGAGGATGAGAAATACCCCACTATACCACCATTAAACTTCACACTTAACTTAGGGGTAGTCACACACATGACAATCCACCTCACAAAGAGATCAGGGAAATTCATTGCTTGTAAAACTGTAATTAAAAAATCCCAGCCCACCAAATCAAAGGCCTTCATAATATCAACTTTAATAATACTTCTTTGGGAGATATCATTTCTATTATACTTCTGAACCAGCTCATGAGCTAAGAGAATGTTCTCACCTATCACTCGCCCTTTAATGAATGCAGTCTAATTATGGCTAATGAGGGAAGGCAAAACTGTACTAAGCCTATTAACTAAAATCTTTGCAACACACTTATAAAGTGTATTACAGCAAGATATTGGTCTAAACAACTACATCTCCTCAGGGTTCTGAACCTTAGGTATCAATGCTAAGAGTGTAAAATTAGTACCGGAAGGAAGAGAGCAAACTAGAAGGCAACACAAATCCCTGGCTAGAATTAGGAGCTTTCTAAATGTTCACAAATGCTGCAAGCGGATATGACAGAGTATGCTTGCAAGCGGATATGACAGAGTATGCTACAAGGGATATGAATTTCTAATTCTGTTTCGAACTATAATTCTAGAACCAAAAGAACTATATGCAACACCTTAAAAGCCTGAGAGCAACTCCACCATGAACCCAAATCTCACTGCCTTGAAACATCTAATGCTTGTAGCAATTGGGTATAGATTTCTTCTTTTAGAGCATCCCGATTGCTGTGGCTTAACGAGAAAATCGTAGCACCCGGTTGACCCCTCAACCTTTCAACTGCAAAATGCAACAACAATCCAACCCCAACCCCAATCACAACAAACACCAGCAGAATTGCACTTCAGAGAAGAAAAAGAAATCACTTAACTTGCTAATTTTTTTCAAGAGGAGGGTATTCCCATTCCTGTTTTACCTGCAGGAATATCACGACCGAACTTTGGAACAGGAATTGAAGCCACAACCGGGATGTTCGATTCCAGAACCCTCAACACACCTGGGAAGAAATGTGAACTAAACAACTCCATCTTGCCAACTTCGTCTATAATGAAAAGATCGGTATTTTCCCTCACCTAAACCAAACAACGTTAATGTCATCCATACAAGTAAAGACAGTGACGATTTGTAGGACAATTTGCACAACACAAACAATTGAAACAAGTCTACAAGTCAAAGAAAGTGCGACCTGCAGCTCGGGCAATGCGAGAGACTCGAAGGATGAGACGTCGACTTTGTACTTGCCAACAGTTGGCCATCCAGACGACTCTGGCCTAAATAATTTGCCGAGAGAGGGAGAAAGAGAGACGAATTAGAGAAAGAGAACGCGTAAAAAAAAAGAAAAGGGAATGGCAATTTGCAAAGCAAAGATACGAACGTGGAAATGGAGATGGAAGAGAGTGGGGCTGTGCGGCCGTCTAGAGTAACGACTTCAAATCCAACCCTTTCACTTCCTCGTCTAACCTCACCTGATCAAAATGGAATTGAAATCCATTGTTGACCAACTCAGAAGTAAGCAAACCGCAAAATGAAAACTCAGAAGTAAGCAAACTGCAAAATAAAAAGGGGGGAGAGAGACAGAGAGAGAAAGAGTACGGGTGTAGAATCCCCGAACGTTCAAGTTAGGTCTAGAGAGTTTCAGAGCCTCTACCAATGTCATGATCAGAGTGGTTTTGCCCACCCCCTATTTTCCAAAAAAAAAATGCAAGGAAAAGAGGGGAACGTTAATTTTGGGGAGGTAGAAAGAAAAAGCTTCGATCGTTCAATGAAATTCAACAACGGAAACTAAAAGTACTCAAGAGAGAAGTTACTTCTGCCTCTTACCGGAGGTCCGGTAACGAGGAAGAGGGATTTCTTGGTGAGAGCAGCTGCCATTCTCTGTCTCTTCAATACTCAATCGTCACGGCAACACCATTTGTCGTCTTTGAAGTTTGATCCTCAGTCTCATACGCGTCCGTCTCTCAAACTCTCGGCCCATTTTAGAATTTAATTATGGGCTAGGTCTGGGATCTGAACTCGGCTTTGGCTCGGCCTCATCGCTAAAGTATACTGCTACGTTTTTGTGATAAAGGGGGTACGGATTAGGGAAATAACATAATAATGGACTAGATTTGGGTCCGCCCGTTGGTCGGATGAATTACATCAATTGTATACAAAATAATAGTAATTACTCGAATTATTTATTTAGTACCATGAAAAAACACAGATTATTCAGTTACTAAACATATACAAAAATAACATACACAATAAGTTTTACAAGATCTTGATCATCCATGGACAAAAGTCTTTATCAAAAGTAAACACTACAACTCATGTAGGGATTCAATTTCTAAAAACTAAATATTTGAAACGCACTTCAGTTTTGTCTTTGATGTTAGAAATTATTGAAAATTTCTTTTTTGATTTCTTTTTGATTGCTCCGCCATCAAAAGCATCTTATCCGCACAATTTCATATTCATTAATGAAACTTCATATTCAGCAGAAAAAATCTCTATCCTTCTCCTACATTACATTAAAAATCAAATTTTAATGGTAAAATGTTTGAAAATGTGAAACATCTTTTCACGAGAGTATAATTTCACCTTTGAAATTTCTATACTCCATCAATCATAAATATTAACCATTCAATCATAAATATTAACCACTCAATCCATACTCCCATCTTTTCACGATAATTCGTCATCCAAATCATAAATATTAACCATTCAATCCATACTCCCATCTTTGAAATTTCTATATCCACCATAATAATCTCTTCCTTTATCTCAATTCCGTAATTATCTACATCACTGAATTCACGACCTCCGTTGTCAAAAAAAAAAAAAAAAAAGAATTCACGACCTCCGTTGTTAACATACTCTTCCTTCTACTCCCGCATTTCATAGAATGCAAAAATCTAATGCCAACATTTTCAGAATTGTGAAACTTTATTTTCAAGAACTTAAATTTACAAAGTATATGTCATGAACTTTCTCTGAGATTGCTCTTTTCATCCTTAATTATCTTCAAAATATGTACACACTTAGGGGTTCGCGGATATTGTAATTAGTGAGCTTGAGCTGAAATCAACTTCAGGCTCTTGGTTTGGATGGGTTAAGGAGGTGAAAGTTCTCTCGTTTTGTCAATAGCTTTGAGTAGTTTCTATGAACACATTCCAAAAGATCTAGCTCCTTCGCGATACAAACAAATAAAGCTAGATTAAACAATGTTGTCTCCAACATTCAGCATGTCTTGAATCTATAAAATAACAACATATGAGATACACTATTTGGTCGAAAACCTTTTGTTTTAGTTGATACTTTGTTTTCTCTCGAATGAATGAACTTGAAGTTGAAAACAACAAAAAGAGTAAATGTAAATTGTTTACCTAACTACTATTGTATTTGATGTTGTTGTATAATTTTTATAAAATTACTCATCATAGTTTTCTTCAACTTTTCTTTGGCAAGTTTCAATTAATATGTTTTTCTAACCCAAATTCTTTTGAAATCAGAGTCGAGACGAAGAAGATATAATTTGCAGAATTTGTGAACATATGGAAAGCTCTTAATTATAGCTCGTGATTTGTGCTAGCTGTAACTAAAGGAAGTTATGCACCAAAATTTCATCTCTTTTACTTAATTGTTTGAAGGTCGTATTGGAGTATGGAGCATTGTTTATCAATTAGATGATTCTCCAATGTGAATATTTTTCAAGGCATAGAATCAATAAATACAGTACTTAATAACCATATGAATTAAATTAAAAAATCAAAATAATACTAAAATAGGTATAGCAAACAAAGTATTATGTCAGTGCCAAAGGAATTTTTTTATAAGAATTATCATTGCACACATTCCAAAAGATCTTGCTCCTTCGCGATACAAACAGATAAAGCTAGATTAAACAATGTTGTCTACAATATGCATCTAGTCCTTAATCTATAAAATAACAACAATTGGGATACACTATTTGGTCGAAAACTTTTTATTTTTGTGGGTACTTTGTTTTCTCTCGAATGAATGAACGAAGTTGAAAACAACAAAAGAGTAAAGGTAAATTGTTTAACTAACTAATATTGTCTTTGATTTTGTTATATAATTCTTATAAAATTACTCATCATAGTCTTCTTCAACTTTTCTTTGGCAAGTTTCAATTAATATGTTTTTTTAACCCAAATTCTTTTGAAATCAGCTTCTCTGACTGCTGTCGGCGTGTTCCATTTCCTTGGCTTCCTCTTTCAGTTGATTTATCCATTCGTGGTTGTCGCGGTTTGCGTCGACCTACCACCATCCATTCTCCAAAGAACTTGGAAGAATCAGGCTCAGATGAAGACGGAGGCTGGCTTCTGACAACTTCCATGGCCGGACTCTTTATCTGTTCTGCAACGCCACCATTAGGAGCCATAATGTATTGGGTAGCTGGTGTTGGAGATTTCACAGAGAACTTGCAGGATGGCTCTGAATGGGCGGCACGTCCAAAGGTGTCACAGACAATCGTGATTCCTTCATATTCCACTTGCCTCCACGCATTTGCGACCCAGACCTTCGGAACCAGTGGCTCATTGAGGTTAAGTTCTATGCAGATTCTTGCAAAACGCCCCGTTGTGGCTAGGCCCGTTCTCCAATCGATACGGACCGGGCGACCCACACAAGAGGCAAGCTTATAGAGGATTTCATCCCTATAGTATTCCATGGGAAGGTGATTGAAATGGACCCAGGTAAGGAGGGTGGAGATACGAGCAGAGAAGGGGTTGAAACCCGGCTCCCACATCTTGAGCGCGAGAAAGTTTTCGGCGATAATGTAGGGCCCTCCAGCTAGCACCTTCGTCAAATCTTCCGGGTCATCAAACTTCACGGCTGAGTACCCATTCCCCAGAGCGACAACCTCCATGCCGCTCATTGGCTTCCACAAAATGTGAAGTCGATTCACTAACAGATAGTGACTAACAGAAACCCCGTATGGCTTCACAATGAGGGCGTTCTTCCAATCTTCACAACCATCCGTGTGGAGTTCTTCCGAAATTTGCAGAATTGGTTTCAGCTTGTTACCGTCTTCGTACACAATCTGCACTTGATCGAAGACAGATTTGTCAAGAGTGAATTCAGTAGATGAGAAACTAGAGGAGTTGGCGCGGCGACCAAGGAGGCGATCTCTGAAAGAGCCTCTGGGTCAGGGGGCCGGTCACCCTTGTCGTTTCCGGCGGCGGCAATTGCGTTGGGAGAGCTCATTCTGGTCAGAAGAACAATGTCCTCTTCTATAAGCGAAGACGTGAAAATGTCATCTTCATATGTTGGGTTGCCTTACTGGATTCGGGTATGAAATCAAGCCCACCAACTGCATTTTCTGGATTTAGTCTTTAGGCTTCTTTGTGCTTGTCCATGGAGATCTAGGCCCGCCATTATGGCTCTCTCTGCCCAGCATGAGAATTCGTTCCCGTTCGATCCTACAATTCTGTGACAGCGGCGGATCTAGAACACAGTAGAGCACTGGGCCGCATTTTAATATAATATTATATATTGTAAAAAAAAATATTCAGCGTTTAAAATTTTAGTATTTCAAATAAAAAAATAGTTACAAAATTACCACGGTAACAGACAAATGGCTAATATTTTGATGTGTTACAAAAGATTTAGCTAATATTTTGTATTTCGAAAGGTTTGGGTAATAATTTGTAAAGTCTAAAAGGTTTGACTAATAAATTGTATTTACCCAAAAATATATGATAACAATAGTTTTCATTCATTTCAATGCCAATTGTAATAGAAGGTTTTTTAATTTTGCAAATCCATCAATAATAATAGAATCTCCATCCTTATCAATAGCGTACTCTCTCTCAAAGAAAATAGCTAAGCAATCAACGAGAAATTCATCAAGCATTTTGTTGCGCAAATTAGTTTTCACATATTTTATTGCTTAAAATGTTCTCTCCATGGTAGCCGTTGAAACGGCAAGGTCAACATTAGAAGAATCAACCAACAAATCAATTTGCTTAGAGGGTTTTCCTATTTCAATGAAACTTTATACACTCTTTTAAATTTAGACCTTTAGGTTTTATGTTTTTTTTTCCAATGAATATAACTCGGGCTAGAATTCCTAGACTAAATTGAGAGTAATAGTTTGCATATGTTCATCTACACCATTTTTCTAACTATACAAAATTTATTATCAAATAACACTCGAACGTCCATTAAATAATACTGGAACGAATAACTAAAATCGAAAAATTTATAAGCTCTTTACTAGCTTTGGATCCGGTGAAGGGCCGGGCCGTGGCCCGGATTGGCCCAACCCTAGATCCGCCTATGTTCTGTGAGTTCATCCGTCATCGTGCCTAAGCCTGAAAACCACTAAAAAAAACCTACAAAAGGCATCAAACCATACAAATCATCCTTAAAGCTATAAAATGCATAAATAAACAAATAAAAAAGATTAGATAAAACCCATAATTTTTTTTGACGGTAGATAAAACCCATAACTGAATGACTAAAACTGCAATAATCTCATAAAAATGCAATACTGCATAGAAATAGAGGAAATGCTACTAAAATAGGCAGCAGGCGGATCCAGTACATAGTAGAGCACTGGGGCGCATTTCATTAGAAAATTAGATACCGTAAAAAAAGTATATGTTTTTTTACAATAACAATTCTACATGTCGATCTTTTAATATAGCGAATTAATCAATAATGGATTCTACATTCATACCAATAGCATACTCTATTTCAAATAAAATAGTTAACCAATCGGCGAGAAATTCATCGCTCATTTTGTTGTGCAAATCATTTTTCACTTGTCTTATTGTTGAAAAGGTTCTCTCCATAGTACTTGTTGAAACGAACAATGTCAACACTAGACAATTCAATCGACTAATCAATTTGTATTGTGTGTCCGTCCCTATTTCCACCAGCTGATCTAGTAATTTTTCAAGGGAACAAATCTCGTCTTTCTTTTAGTCTCTTACGTTGTTTGTTTTTCTCGGCCCCGCCCCCCCCCCCCCCCAGAATTTTGAAGTTACGTGTAAACTATACCAGTATTTAGAAATTTCGTGTAAAATAAATGACATTTGTATATTCATTTAGTGTGAAAACTTGAAACAAGAAAGCAAGCTATCTTAGCCGGTGAGAATATGATGTTTCTTCCTTCAGTTTAAGGGTTTGAAACCCACTAGATGCAGTGTTATTTTAATTTTAATAATTTCTTATTCATTTATCTTCTTATGGCTTTATAATTGGGAATTGCTAATTGTGGCCAACCCACTAGATGCAGTGCTATTTTAATTTTAATAATTTCTCATTCATTTATCTTCTTATGGCTTTTATAATTGGGGATTGCTAATTGTCGCCCTAACTACTATAATCGTCCTATATTAAAATTAAATTTGTATCCCTTTTTAATGATAGAATAAAAATAAAACTAATCTACCATAACCACCTCCGCCCGTCGCCACCGCTATCACCCTCGGACCGCTACCACTACCACCCTCCAAGACCCACGTACATCTACTTTTCAATTTCATAGCTTCTAATCAATTCAAGCAATAAAGAGTATAACCATCAATGGTGTTTGACAAATGGGTTTTCAAAGCTATCAACCGAATCACATAACTACTAATGAGACCAGTTATTCAAAGCTGCACGGAGAGCGGCGGCGGCCACCTGAATACGAAGCCAATGAGGAAGGAGGGTCTGTCGCCAATCAGTTGAACCTAGGTTGAACGACGACATCACAAAGGAGGGATCGCCACCCAGGGAAGAGTTCGACGACGACTAAACAGGTGGTTAGCATGTAGGGACGCCGCTGAAAGCCTCCACGCCGCTGCCCTCGTTGGAGGAAATAAAGACAGTGCGTAGGGCTTTTTGTTTGTTTTATTAAGGTTAATTCAGTAATTTTATATTTTAAATTAGGGCGATAATAGTAAAAATAAGGCGATGTTTAGCCATTCAGTTATAAGTTCGTTAATTTCAATGTGGTTTCTTAAGTCTTTTAGATTAAAAATTATTACATGGCTGAATAATTTGTTCTCTCAAGTCATCTAAAAATGCCGTTATAATATAATATAAAAAATATTTTTTTATTAATTTTTATTGCCATATCGAAGTCACATAATAACAAAATTCAGCCACCCCTGAACGCCGAATCTTAGCTCCGACCCTGCTTTCAAATAAAATAGTTAATCAATCGGCGAGAAATTCATCGCTGATTTTGTTGCGCAAATCATTTTTCACTTGTCTCATTGTTGAAAAGGTTCTCTCCATAGTTCTTGTTGAAATGAACATTGTCAACACTAGACAATTCAATCGACTAATCAATTTGTATTGTGTGTCCGTCCCTATTTCCACCAGCTTATCTAGTAATTTTTCAAGGGAACAAATCTCATCTTTCTTTTAGTCTTAAAGTTTCATTGTTTGTTTTTCTAGGCTAAATTTAGAGTTGTGACTAAATATGTCCATCTGACCCATTTTCCTAATTACATACAATCTTATTATAAAATAACAATGAGCCAAATGACTAAAATCGATAAACTCACAAAAGTCATACTAGCTCCGGATCCAGAGGAGGGCTGGACCGTGGCTGGGGGTGACCACCCCTGGATCCTCCACTGAAAATAGGTATAATTAACAAGTACTAATTCTTAATTGGGTCCGGATACTATAACAACACCTCCTTTGTTGTTATAGTAACAACAAGGGTAAAAGGGTCCATAAACAAATATCTAACAAATTAAAAAACAAATTCAATATTGAGCGACGTCATCTCTCCATCTGCATATCTCTTCCCTCTCGGCTGCTTCTCCTCCATCGCCGGGAACGCGACGAACAGCAGCCGGTTAGCCTGGTCGACCCTCCCCGTGTCCTTCTCGTGATCCCCAGCAACGGCGATGAAGGCGCTGCTAACGTTGGAGGCCTCTCGCTGCGCGAACCCGAAGAACGAGAGCGGCGGCGGGAGGAAAGAGAATGACGACGCGCGGCGGCTAGGAAGAACGAGAACGGCCGCAATCGCCGACTATGGCTCCGACGGCCACACATTCTATGTCCTCCACAACTGCCTCTCCACCTTCCGGATCTGGATTTCAGATTTGATAGTCAAGGAATTGAAGAGGAGCATCAATGGATTGTATGGCTTTCTCATTTACTTCTTTCTCTTTTTGTGAGTTATAGTCGCCTGAAATTGGAGTTCTGGAGGCATTCAGGTGGGATTGTTGTCATCTCCTGGACTCATCTTCTCGAGTTGCCTATCGCTCTCTTCTCATCTTCTTCCTCTCCTGTCTTTTGGATCCAATTTCTTTTTTTCCAAATATTTTACCTTGCATGCGGATATGTAATATCCTCCCTCCAGCCTCCGTCGCATCTCCGCTCGCCGCCTCCATCTCACAACAGCTTTGCCATTAATTATTTATCTCCTCAATCTCTCAGGTGAGTGATGACCCCTGTTTTCGAGTACGCTAAAAACAGAGCAGCAGCAGAAAAATAGAGTAAATCGGCGTCGACGGAGTAAGCAGCGTCTATCTGACAGTTTCGGTGAGAAACATTCAGCGGCTGAGGTGGGTAGAGAGGGATGGTTTGTGGGTACTTAGCGAAATTTCCAAGTCTCGGAGGGTTGGAGTGAAGCAGATTTTGGTGGCCATGGATGCCACTCCCCTGAAGATGAAGCGGTTGAGTACGAAAAGAGAGTTAAAGTGAGCACATTTTTTGAAGCACATTTTCTCTGAATATATACAGGTCATCCAAGGTTGGGACCTCTTGTTTTTTCTGTCATCAAACTTGTGTATTAAGCCTGCCTCTAGTAGTTAATTAAGAGAGAACTATGTAATTATGTATACAAACCTGGTAAGTATACACATCAATAATTATTGTTACTAATTCCATTCATCTAGTAGGAACGTCGGATAGAATAACAAA